GAAGTCTACTGTGACATTTGTATTCTTACAGTTCATGTCATCAAGAGTTCCATTACTGTTCTAGCAACCACACTGAGGCCAGTGATTCCTGACTGCTGTCACTAACATGTTGACCTTCTCGGTTCAGTCCTTGTAAATATATTGTAAATATTGTACATCATTTTTTTCCCCTGTTATCTAATCATAAATTTCATTGTGGCATTTAGGTCATAACTTTTGATCCATTATTTTAGATAATTATCTTGTATTATTTCCATGTCATTGACACATGTTAATAATTTTGTTTAGGCAATACTTTGAGTTGTATTGTTCATATCTGATACTTAAACATGAATATGTTCTTCTTGAACAGATTACCATGATTTTTGTTACCAAGATTTTCCACTGAGAAAATAATGTTCTTATTTCTGTGCACATGCCGAGCAGAGAAGGTATTAACACACACCTGATCTACCCAGTAATGTGTAAACTGCTATTACACATGTAAGGCATTATGGTATGCCATCGAGGTCCTTTCAGTATCATTGTAACTATCTAGCTTTCCAAAGCTTGTCGACAAGGAACGTCGACTTGGTAGCGTGTCCAAACGGTATATGACCCGCTCTCAAGTAGGCCTCAGTATTCTCACAGACCAGAGCAAGGTAGGACCTCGGGTGCTCTGGATATATACATTACGTTCTTTTAATCAATAAAGCTGTTGAAGCAACGACAGTGTGTGTTCTCTCCAGTCCCAAGCAAGTAGATGGTGTATTGTAGAGCAAGTAGATGATGTATTGTAGAGCATGTAGATCGTGTATTGTACAACAAGTAGATGTTATATTGTTGAGCAAGTAGATGACATATTCTAGAGCAAGTATATGGTGTATTGTGGAGCAAGTAGATGGTGTATTGTAGGGCAAATAGACGGTGTATTGTGGAAAAATAGATGATTTTTTGTAGAGGAAGTATAAGTATTGCAGAGCAAGTATAAGGTGTGTTGTAGGTCTAATAGATGGTATATTGTGAAGCAAGTAGATGGTGTATTGTATAGCAAGTAGATAGTGTATTGTAGCACAAATAGATGGTGTATTTTTGATAAAGGAGGTGTATTGATGAGCAAGTAGATAGTGTATTGTAGCACAAGTAGATGGTGTATTGTTGATCAAGGAGGTGTATTGTTGAGCAAGTAGATGGTGTATCTATTCGTGCTTGTTTATTCTGTTGTTGATTGGATCTTGCTTGGGTCTGAAGAGATACACATTCTGACTTCTTGGACTTTATTGGTTGTGGCAGAGAATATATCTCCAGAGCACCAGGGTCCTGAGGTGCTGCTCTAATCTAGGTCTGTGAGGTATTGGCGGCCTACATGGAAGCGGCTACTGCGCTGCTCTGAGGAATGACATCATGGGGCTCACTGGCCACAGGATTGGCCATACAACAACCGTTCGAGAATTTAAAGACTAACATCCCTCGTACACACTACCAAGTCGACGTCCCTTGTCAAAAACCTCTGGCTAGCTAGTTACAATGATACTGAAGGACCCTTGGTGGCATACAATAATGGCTTACATGTAAAGTTTCAGATAAAGCATTAAAGCATGAATCAGATGTGGATTAATACTAACACCACTTGGCATGTGCACAAAAATTATAACATAATTTATTCAGTCAAAAATCATGGTAACAATGCATCTGCTGGAGCAAGAGCATGAAGACCCTAAGCATGTCTAAGCATTAGGTATGAACAATACAATTCAAGCATTGCCTAAAACAAAATTATCAACATCTTATGACAATGGCATGTGCTTGGAAATTAATAAAGACAATTATGTGCATTATTGGAACAAGAGTTTTGACCTAACAACCACAGTGAATTTTATAAATAGATAACAAGATATGTACACAAAAACAAAACATATGTACAATATTTACAATGACTGGACCCAAAAGGCTAGCATCTTAGTGATAGCAGCCAGGAAAAACTGGCCTCAGTGTGGTTGCTAGAACTGTAATGGAGTTCTTGATGACATGCACTGTAAACAAAAATACAAATGGCACAGTAGACTTCACAATGCTTCTGAATAAAGACACAAAACAAAGTTGAAAGTAGTGTATAAAATGCATTATACAGTAATAATAAGACACGTAGGGTGGAGTTACCAGAATGACAACTGCAGAATTAACTTAATTAGAGTTTCCGTGAATGTCAACACCTAATTCATCAAGAGCACTATACAACTCTGGCTCTGACTGAAGGTGAGGAACAGATGAAACTGCGTGTGTCAAGCCCTCATCTGGGGAGGTAATCTCGTTAACATCTAGCCAGTGGACATGTTGTGAGTGTACAGTTGAAACTAAAGGTCTAGATCTAAGATTATAGATACTGGCATGAGGTAGCGCTATGTCAAGTGGTCTGTCAACCACAGTAGGTGGTGTCCCAATAGAAGAATCTGTCTGGGTAAGGTCATTGTCCTCTTCTGCATCAGACTCGTCAGAAGTCATTTATCTAACTTCATGTGGTCAAGATGTTCGTTAATAAACCTCTTCTGCTAACAAATTCTTAAGTTTGTACTTGTTACCCTTGATAAGCTCTATTACATTATATGAACCCAAAAATGTCTTAGTTAGCTTGTACATAGGGCCAGACCTGTGTTGGTTAAATTACATAACTACAGATCCGGCAGTTATCTTACTGAACTTAACTCGTGTATTCCTTGCTCAAGTAAACTCTGCTGTTGCCCTGGACAAGTGTTCTCATATTTTCTTAGAAATTAGTTGCATTTGTCTACGCTTCACTTGAATAAAATCATCAAAGTTATACAAAGAAGTTGGGGGGGTACATTAATCAATTCATTACGGAGGATATTATCTGTACCATGAAGAATAGCATGAGAAGTGCCTCCTGTAGAAGCTCTTCATTAATTGAAGAACACAGAAATCACAATAGTGTGATGCATCAAATGAGCAAATCCACAAGGGCCGTGACGAGGTTGGTACCTACGTCCGAGAGCATCCCAGACGCTGCCTTACTTGTTATGGATTTGGAATGGATTTGTTCATTTAAATGAAGAATTTATAGCACACTGAATTAAGGGTATAAATTGATCCCAAAAATTGTAATCAAAATTCATGGTGACTCTCAAAGCATCTAAGACTTTCCTGTTAGTACGCTCTGCTAATCCATTACTTGCTGGATGAAATGGCATAATACTACATTTTTTATGTTATGTAATTCACACAAACTAGTTAAGACACTATTACTGAACTCAGAATATTATTCAAGAGAATTACTTTTGGCATACTATATCTACAAATTTTTTTGGTCATGGAATGCATTGGCTATGGTTTCTACCGTTTTCTTTGGGATAGGAACTAGTTTGCAGTACCGTGAAAAATTGTCAAACATTACAAGCAAGTGTTTGTTACCTTTTTCAGTTTCTGCAAAATTTATCAACGGATGCATTGATACTCCTTCCCAAGGAGCTTTAGTCACTGGTACACCTCCATTGGGTTAGGTCCCCACAACGTGTCTCTTGTGCTGTAAGCAGGTGAAACATCTGTCTACATAATGAGCTACCTCTTTAGCCATTTTGAGCCATTGGCTCAATGATCCGCTGAGATATCATCCACCACTCGCACTGGTAATGAGTAATGGTCAAAATCTACAACATGAGTGCCAGACTGGAGTTGGATGTCGGCACTACTAGTGTTTGCAATATTCAATGTAATGGTATCATCTTGCACTCTGTGCCAGGAGGGTTCAAGAAACGTACAGTTCACTTTACATATTTCTTTTTCCTGCAATGACATCCGACAACTCAGGAACTCTCTGAATCTTAACTCTTACTCTTGTGAGAGAATGAGAGTGCAGCACAGTGTCAGTAGCTGTGGATCCACTAACTTCAGAGATGGAAGCTGCTTGATGAGCAAGAAAACGAGAATCTGTTAGGACGTCCCCCTCCAGAAAGTCTCTATTCTCACTCTCCTGAGCTACTGCACAACTACGATGCTTCTACTGAGTACTTGTTTTCTCGGGTATGCTACCGCGACAAGGATCTGACAAACCTACGCTAGCAAGTTTGCTGTCGACAAAATGAATATACTCTGTCTTACTGTTGAACTTATGACCCATCTTATTTATACTGTAAAGTGGTATAACATGATCTTTGATACTAATGATCCAATGATGGGAAAACAATACAATATTATCATCAATCAAGGTGTACAAACCTAAGAGAGTGTCAACAGGAAAATGGATGCTATCAACAACTAGGCAAGTTATGGACAACGTGATGTCATTTAAGTTGTGTGGAAGGTCGATTTTTCCCTTAACTGTTACTTTATTTCCTGAAACACCCTTCAGAAAAGGTACGGATGATTTTTTTACTGTGACAGAGTGCTTACTTGAAATATCTGTAGGAACTGGAGGGTTGACAATATTTATTTTAGCACCTGTATCAACAGACTTTTAGTATTCTACGATGTATTAGGGCTGATACTAGCAGACCATCACTTGAAACCGTGAAATTCAGTGCTTGTGATTTATGTTGCCTAGGTTGTCTGCGTCTCGTCTGGGTCACATTCACTCGGGCTTCGTCAATATCTACAACTGGTCTAGTGTCCAAATCTGTTTTGGGTAACTACTGAGTACACAGGAAGAGCACTAGGGTTTGATAGCTTGAATTGGTTAAAGGGGCGCCTCGCAAGTTTCCCGACGACGTGAAATGAACACTCTGATCTCCAAGGTTCTGTGACCTGGTATTGTATTTTGACTGATAATGTAGTTATGGGAATATTGATACTGTCTTGGACGCCATGCACCTTGCCAAGACTGTCCATGGGAACTACAAGGTAGGGATGACCTTTGCCAAGCTCTTCAATCTGCAGTGTGGTGACCAACTTGTTTATGATACTTTCTACATGGGAACCTAGAATTATTAGAATGACGTGAAGACTGAGAAAATTGTCTGAGGGGTAATGACCTATATGCAGACCAACAGCCCTTTACTAGGTTGTCAGTCTTACCACAATGCCAACACGAGGTAGTGGTTGACTGTGAGCGTTGTGGCAACTTGTGAGAAGGCATGAGGAAGAAGAAGCATGAGGAGAGATGAAATGGCATCTTGTTTATATCTGGAGTCGAGAGTGGGACTCCTAGCGGCAGTGTTGTGAAGCTGAGCTGACATTACGGGCTGCTGTGACGTTACGGGCTGCTGTAACGTTACTGGCTGCTGTAACGTTACAGGCTGCTGTAACGTTACGGGCTGCTGTGACGTTACGGACTGCTGTGACGTTACGGGCTGCTGTAACGTTACTGGCTGCTGTAACGTTACGGGCTGCTGTGACGTTACGGGCTGCTGTGACGTTACTGGCTGCTGTAACGTTACGGGCTGCTGTGACGTTACTGGCTGCTGTGACGTTACTGGCTGCTGTGACGTTACTGGCTGCTGTGACGTTACTGGCTGCTGTGACGTTACTGACTGCTGTGACGTTACTGGCTGCTGTGACGTTACAGGCTGCTGTAACGTTACAGGCTGCTGTAACGTTACGGGCTGCTGTGACGTTACGGGCTGCTGTGACGTTACTGGCTGCTGTGACGTTACTGACTGCTGTGACGTTACTGGCTGCTGTGACGTTACAGGCTGCTGTAACGTTACTGGCTGCTGTGACGTTACTGGCTGCTGTGACGTTACTGGCTGCTGTGACGTTACTGGCTGCTGTGACGTTACTGGCTGCTGTGACGTTACTGGCTGCTGTGACGTTACTGACTGCTGTGACGTTACTGGCTGCTGTGACGTTACAGGCTGCTGTGACGTTACGGACTGCTGTGACGTTACGGGCTGCTGTAACGTTACTGGCTGCTGTAACGTTACGGGCTGCTGTGACGTTACGGACTGCTGTGACGTTACGGGCTGCTGTAACGTTACGGGCTGCTGTGACGTTACGGACTGCTGTGACGTTACGGGCTGCTGTAACGTTACTGGCTGCTGTAACGTTACAGGCTGCTGTAACGTTACGGGCTGCTGTGACGTTACGGACTGCTGTGACGTTACGGGCTGCTGTAACGTTACTGGCTGCTGTAACGTTACGGGCTGCTGTGACGTTACTGGCTGCTGTGACGTTACTGGCTGCTGTAACGTTACTGGCTGCTGTGACGTTACAGGCTGCTGTAACGTTACAGGCTGCTGTAACGTTACAGGCTGCTGTAACGTTACGGGCTGCTGTGACGTTACGGGCTGCTGTGACGTTACTGGCTGCTGTGACGTTACTGGCTGCTGTAACGTTACAGGCTGCTGTAACGTTACGGGCTGCTGTGACGTTACGGGCTGCTGTGACGTTACTGGCTGCTGTGACGTTACTGGCTGCTGTGACGTTACTGGCTGCTGTAACGTTACTGGCTGCTGTGACGTTACAGGCTGCTGTAACGTTACGGGCTGCTGTGACGTTATTGGCTGCTGTGACGTTACTGACTGCTGTGACGTTACTGGCTGCTGTAACGTTACGGGCTGCTGTGACGTTACAGGCTGCTGTGACGTTACTGGCTGCTGTGACGTTACAGGCTGCTGTAACGTTACTGGCTGCTGTGACGTTACGGGCTGCTGTGACGTTACTGACTGCTGTGAGGTTACAGGCTGCTGTGACGTTACTGACTGCTGTGACGTTACTGACTGCTGTGACGTTACTGACTGCTGTAACGTTACTGACTGCTGTGACGTTATTGACTGCTGTGACGTTACTGACTGCTGTGACGTTACTGACTGCTGTGACGTTACTGACTGCTGTAACGTTACTGACTGCTGTGACGTTACTGACTGCTGTGACGTTACAGGCTGCTGTGACGTTACTGACTGCTGTGACGTTACTGACTGCTGTGACGTTACTGACTGCTGTGACGTTACTGACTGCTGTGACGTTACTGACTGCTGTGACGTTACTGACTGCTGTGACGTTACTGACTGCTGTGACGTTACTGGCTGCTGTGACGTTACTGACTGCTGTGACGTTACAGGCTGCTGTGACGTTACTGACTGCTGTGACGTTACTGACTGCTGTGACGTTACTGACTGCTGTGACGTTACTGACTGCTGTGACGTTACTGACTGCTGTGACGTTACTGACTGCTGTGACGTTACTGACTGCTGTGACGTTACTGACTGCTGTGACGTTACTGACTGCTGTGACGTTACTGACTGCTGTAACGTTACGGGCTGCTGTGACGTTACTGACTGCTGTGACGTTACAGGCTGCTGTGACGTTACAGGCTGCTGTGACGTTACTGACTGCTGTGACGTTACTGACTGCTGTGACGTTACTGGCTGCTGTAACGTTACTGGCTGCTGTAACGTTACAGGCTGCTGTAACGTTACGGGCTGCTGTGACGTTACTGGCTGCTGTGACGTTACAGGCTGCTGTGACGTTACGGGCTGCTGTAACGTTACGGGCTGCTGTGACGTTACTGACTGCTGTGACGTTACAGGCTGCTGTGACGTTACAGGCTGCTGTAACGTTACGGGCTGCTGTGACGTTACTGACTGCTGTGACGTTACAGGCTGCTGTGACGTTACAGGCTGCTGTGACGTTACTGACTGCTGTGACGTTACTGACTGCTGTGACGTTACTGGCTGCTGTAACGTTACTGGCTGCTGTAACGTTACAGGCTGCTGTGACGTTACAGGCTGCTGTGACGTTACTGACTGCTGTGACGTTACTGACTGCTGTGACGTTACTGGCTGCTGTAACGTTACTGGCTGCTGTAACGTTACAGGCTGCTGTAACGTTACGGGCTGCTGTGACGTTACTGGCTGCTGTGACGTTACAGGCTGCTGTGACGTTACGGGCTGCTGTGACGTTACTGGCTGCTGTGACGTTACAGGCTGCTGTGACGTTACAGGCTGCTGTGACGTTACTGGCTGCTGTGACGTTACAGGCTGCTGTAACGTTACTGGCTGCTGTGACGTTACGGGCTGCTGTGACGTTACTGGCTGCTGTGACGTTACGGGCTGCTGTGACGTTACTGACTGCTGTGACGTTACTGGCTGCTGTGACGTTACGGGCTGCTGTAACGTTACGGGCTGCTGTGACGTTACTGGCTGCTGTGACGTTACTGGCTGCTGTGACGTTACTGGCTGCTGTAACGTTACGGGCTGCTGTAACGTTACGGGCTGCTGTGACGTTACTGGCTGCTGTGACGTTACTGGCTGCTGTGACGTTACGGGCTGCTGTGACGTTACGGGCTGCTGTGACGTTACTGGCTGCTGTGACGTTACGGGCTGCTGTGACGTTACTGGCTGCTGTGACGTTACTGGCTGCTGTAACGTTACGGGCTGCTGTAACGTTACGGGCTGCTGTGACGTTACTGGCTGCTGTGACGTTACTGGCTGCTGTAACGTTACGGGCTGCTGTGACGTTACAGGCTGCTGTAACGTTACTGGCTGCTGTGACGTTACGGGCTGCTGTGACGTTACTGGCTGCTGTGACGTTACGGGCTGCTGTGACGTTACTGGCTGCTGTGACGTTACTGGCTGCTGTGACGTTACTGGCTGCTGTGACGTTACTGACTGCTGTGACGTTACAGGCTGCTGTAACGTTACTGGCTGCTGTGACGTTACGGGCTGCTGTGACGTTACTGGCTGCTGTGACGTTACGGGCTGCTGTGACGTTACAGGCTGCTGTGACGTTACGGGCTGCTGTGACGTTACGGGCTGCTGTGACGTTACGGGCTGCTGTGACGTTACTGGCTGCTGTGACGTTACAGGCTGCTGTGACGTTACGGGCTGCTGTAACGTTACGGGCTGCTGTGACGTTACGGGCTGCTGTAACGTTACTGGCTGCTGTAACGTTACAGGCTGCTGTGACGTTACGGGCTGCTGTGACGTTACTGGCTGCTGTGACGTTACTGGCTGCTGTGACGTTACAGGCTGCTGTGACGTTACTGGCTGCTGTGACGTTACAGGCTGCTGTGACGTTACGGGCTGCTGTGACGTTACTGGCTGCTGTGACGTTACAGGCTGCTGTAACGTTACGGGCTGCTGTGACGTTACGGGCTGCTGTGACGTTACTGGCTGCTGTGACGTCATGGAAAGGCAACGGCGATATTGCGGAGGCGATGACGTTGCAGTGATAACGGTGAAAGAGCACAGGTTACATGCTGAATTGTCGACAGATGGTTCCCTGATGGGTACTGGAACAGTAGCAACTTGAGTAGCGTCGGTAATGGCTTTGGTGTCACGTCAGTGATGACGTCGATGTGGCGTCGGTAATGACGTCACTAGAACTGTGCCTCAGATAACTCCACAACACACCCAGTGAGCAGTAGATGAAATAGAAGCTGGAGTCGACACTTGGCTTCGATGACAGTATCTAAAGAGTACAGATGAAAAACACCTGGAGCAAGTGGACAGGGGCGCCACCAGGCGTCAGAAATTCAAAATGGGTGGGCGCGGGATCTGTCCTCTCTCCCTCCCTGATGAAGTAATGTTCATGTTGCTAGATATCGTAACTTACATTGAGAACGTTGACCTAGAGCATTGGTTGATTGTAGGACCCTGGACAGGTATGAATATTGATGACACACAAGTGTAGCTGTGGCAGGCGGCTTGGCTTGCTGTGGCGGCGTGAGTAGACACGTGGGTTCCAGCTATGGGAACAAAATTCTGTCCCACACTGATACATGTGTACTTGAATTCGTGAATTCGTGTTTGTTTATTCTCTTGTTGATTGGATCTTGCTTGAGTCTGAAGAGATACACAGTCTGACTTCTTGGACTATATCAGTTGTGGTAATAGAATATAACCCAGAGCATCAGGGTCCTGAGGTCCTGCTCTACTGTGTCTGTGTGTGGTCTGTGTGGTAAAGGTCTGTGTGGTAAAGGTCTGTGTGGTAAAGCTCTGTGTGGTAAAGCTCTGTGTGGTACTGCAACCCGTTCTCGCAAATTTAATAAGTCAATATTGACTTATTAGTTGCGTGCATAGGTGACATACTAAACATAATAGTTTCCCTTGAAAAGCTTCATAGAAAACACCGACTTTACCTAACCTACTTAGTATGTTAAAATAAGCATCTTAAAGCTTCGTAATTACAATTGTTACTTTACCTATTATAAGTATAGGTTAGGTAATAATTGGAATTACGAAGCAATAAGATGCTTATCTTAACATACTAACAAGGTTAGGTAAGGTCGGTGTTTTCTATGAAGCTTTTTAAGGGTATCTATTATGTTTAGTATGTCACCTATGCACATATTTAATAAGTCAATATTGACTTATTAAATTTGCGAGAACGGGTTGGGTACTGGCAGCCTACTTGAAAGCTGCTACTGCACTGCTCTGAGGAATGACGTCATGGGTGTATTGGCAAATAGATGGTGTATTGTAGAGCAAGTAGATGGTGCATTGTTGAGGAAGTAGGTGGTGTATTACAGAGCAACTAGATGGTGTACTGTTGTGCAAGTAGATAGTGTGTTCTAGGGCAAAAAGATGGTGTATTGTAGGGCAAGTAGATTGTGTATTGTAGAGGAAGTGGACGGTGTGTTGTAGAGTAATTAGATGGTAATCTAGGGCAAGTAGATGTGAAGTCTAGAGTAGATAGATTGTGCATTGTAGAGCATATAGATCGCGTATAGTGGAGCAAGTAGATGTTGTATTGTTAACCAAGAAGATGGTGTTATGTAGGGTAAGTACATGGTAATTGTTGATCAAGTTGTTGGAGTATTGTTGAGAATGTAGATGGTGTATTGGAAGGAAAATAGATTGTGTATTATAGCATAAGTATCTGGTTTATTTTAGGGGAAAAATGGTGTATTGTTGAGAAAGCAGATGGTGTATTGTAAGGCAAGTAGAAGATGCATTGTTGAGCAAATAGGTGATGTATTGTGGAGCAAGTAGATGTGTAGTGTAGAGTAGATAGATGGTGTATTGTTGACCAAGTAGATTTTATATTGTAGAACATGTAGATGGTGTATTGTATAGCAGACAGATGTAGTATTGTTGAGCAAGTAGATAGTGCATTATTGAACAAGTAGATGGTGTATTGTTGAGCAAGTAGATAGTGCATTATTGAACAAGTAGGTGGTGAATTATTGAACATGTAGATTGTGTATTTAGGAGCATGTAGATTGTCAGGAGACATTTTTTTCCTGCTCTCTTGTGCGCTAAATTAAGTACGAAATTGCATAGTGCACCAGTGATGTGCACCGTGATTCAACTTTCTGAATATAACTTTTCCACAGTGTTGGGTGTCCTTGGACAGCCCATGACATTTGCTAGCCATTGATGTCATTCTGATCGCTGTATCAGGTCTGTGAAGGAAATTACAGGAGGGAGTTGATTTCAGTGAAATTTTTGTACAAGTCAAGTGTAGAGAGGGAGGTATGGGGGGTTAACGGCTGTAGACCACCCCCCCTATCACGTGTCCACCTCGTGAGAGAGGGGGTTGGCGTCATGGGGCAGGTGCGCCATTGGCCAGGGCTCCTGGGCCTCAGGAATGCTGAACGGTGATTGGTCAAGACGCTGAGGAGTACCGCATGGTACCCCAGGCGTAGTCTTGGCGGGAAAAAACATACTTACCTAGAACGTTGCTATGAGAGGACGTAATTTTCCGAGCTAGGCCAAGCATCGGGAAATACCGCCTGCAACGTTACTAAAGTCACGCCTATCATCTTGCTATCTTTCCGTGTGCCGTCCGTAAGAATCCGGTAGTTCGGAAAGTTGTTTGTACCGAACAGTGTGAACTTGTCATCTAGCCGCGTAATTGTGGGACGCCATCTTAGAGCAACTGGACTGAGTGAGGCGTTAATTATCGGGCTACGAAAGTGACATCCGCCGTCTATCGTATCTGTGCTTGAAGGTACTGCAGTGAGACATGCTAGAGAAGGTTTCAGTGTTATGAGAGAAACCTTAAAGTTCCTAATTCTGAGGAAACCAAGAGAACAGTGAAGGACTCCGTCTCGGGTCTCGTGTACCGTGTAACACTCTGTACCGTCGTATCCTGGGGTACAGTGTCAAGTGGAAGGGCGTGGTACCGCATCCCAGCTGTTGTGCGCGCATCCTGGTCTGCCTAAGCCGGCGTGTTTGCGCCACCTGGTCTCTGTGTGTGGAGCTAACCCCGTGGTCTAGGACCCTGTGCTCCAACTGACCATGTGTAGGAAGTGAGGACGTCTACGTCATCATCCAGCAGCAGCAGTGGAAGTGTGGGTGACGTGTATGTGAGTGAGTGGGAGTGTAGCAGGCCCGCATGATTGATGTAAGTACACTGTTTCCGTTTTGGGTAATAAAACTCTGAAGCTGGGGTCGCCCCCAGTGTTCCGTCTGTCCTCTGTCCCTGGGACCACCTGGTGAGGTGAATGGGAATTGGAGACGTGTGAGTTTACCCTATTTGTCGCCATCAAGTTGAGGTTGGGCCCAACTGTGATTTTGACGTGTGTGAAGACACCTAGAGACACGGTAGAGTAAAGTGAGTTATTTGCTTCTATTTTCTCTATGTGGTGCGTATGTAAATCACTGTAATTTGATTCCCTTTTTCAGCAGTGAAAGTGGTAACAGGGAGGTTTCCCTTGGTAATAAATTTTACTGTTGTGTTGTGGTAAAGTGTGAATTATTGGTAGATAATTTACTGGGGAAGTCATTTACAAGTTTTGCCGTGAGTGGCAAGGATGTACTGTGTTGTACTGTGTTGTACCGTGTGTAAACTGTAGACAAGTTTGTCCTTGGTGGAATGCGTTGTGTACTGTGAAGGATTCCGTGAGAATTAAAGTCAGTTAACGTCACCGGGGGTCACGATTTATCTAACGAGGTCACTTGTTCGTTGCACATTGTTGTGATTAATGTAGGGACGTGTAAAGGCAACAGTCACAGTGAAGTTCACGCGGTGGAGGAATTGTCAAGTGAAGACTAATGTAGTGTTAACGATTTAACGAGCTGTCGTTAATTGATTGATTAACGTAAGGGGTTGACGGTCTGTTATGATCAGAGTCAATTGCGCTGTAATTAAGCTGCTGTAATTCGTTGGACTGATCAGATCTGTCTGCGGACAGTGATTAAGCACTTGTAGCTAATTAAAGATAATTAGTAACCGCCACTTAGTGAATTCACCAGGTGTTGATGTTGTTGTTTACACGGAGTGTTGTAACCTTGTGTGGTACAGTAGTCTACCCTCGTTTAGGTAATCTTGTCGTAAGACCGGAAGTGAACTGTCAGTTGAGAGACAGTAGGCTTTGTCAATACTCGTCTGAATTAATAGGCTGTTGTATTCAGTAATTAATTGGGAATTACTCACCGAATGCTTGACTTTCAAGTTGATGTAATTAATTGATTTACTAGTTATTGCTGCCATTTAAGTGTCGTTGAGACACGTGTGTGTTAAAGTAATTGTTTAAATTCGATTAGAGTAACTTTTGTTGTTGATTGTCCTGAGAGACAAGTGTTAACGTAAGATTTTTATAAGGGGTTATCATTCTTGGATTAACCGCCTTGTTACTTGGTACCTTGTTGAGGGCAGCGAGCGTCAGTCAAGTTTTTGTGATTAGAGTATTGGAGTGCACCTGGAGCTGCCGTGAGGTACAGACGTGTCGTCCGGCCTCTGGTAGTTTGGGGTGTTTGCCGTTTTTCGTCGCCAGGGGGTGTGGGTGTCCCCACCCTCCCTGCAGTTGCTGCTTGGCTGGTGGTGACGTCGCACGCTTGCGATGGGGGTCCCTCTCCCTCCTGTGTTGAGAGTAAACTCCGTGGGACTGGAGTTTACGGGCCGTGTTGGCTATCCTTTAGTTGAGCTTGTCATGTGTGACATGCTCCGTGTCCCGGTCGACGACGTCTACGGGATTGAGCTGGTAACTGCTCACCGGGTTATTATCAAGTTGGCGGGGGAGGAGGTGTATCGTGCTTTCCTCCGCCGTTACGAGGGGCGTTCCTTGTCGCTGCCGGATGGTGCCGGCTCTGTGACTATTACAGACCGTAGTGGTGCCCTGACCTACGTGAGTGTGCACGGGGCGCCCTTGGAGTTTCCCGAACAACTACTCCGGCGTTACTTCCAGCAGTTTGGCGCAGTCGTCAGTGTGCGGGTGCACACGCTATCCTCAGGGAGGTAT